AGTCTTCCAAAATTTAACTCAGGTATTTGTCCTCTCCTGGAGGGATGTTATGCTGCTCCAAAGCCAAACCCTAACTGCAGCCAAGAAGCAGGTAGCTCTATAGGCAGCAGAGAAATTTGGAGATGAGAGATATGTCTTCTGTAATAGGCCTAAAAGGAAAAAAGACAATAGAAAAGGTGAAGAAATATGGGAAACACCATCCCCAAAAGGGAATAGCAGTACCTCTTGACAACCCTAATTGGATTCTCTAGACTTTTCTACAGTGTCTTTCCTTCTTTTTTTTTTTTTTTTTTTTTTTTTTTGAGACTGAGTTTCGCTCTTGTTACCCAGGCTGGAGTGCAATGGCGCGATCTCGGCTCACCGCAACCTCCGCCTCCCGGGTTCAGGCAATTCTCCTGCCTCAGCCTCCTGAGTAGCTGGGATTACAGGCACACGCCACCATGCCCAGCTAATTTTTTGTATTTTTAGTAGAGACAGGGTTTCACCATGTTGACCAGGATGGTCTCGATCTCTTGACCTCGTGATCCACCCGCCTCTGCCTCCCAAAGTGCTGGGATTACAGGCTTGAGCCACCGCGCCCGGCCGTGTCTTTCCTTCTTTCACAGTTTAAAATAGCTCTCTTACGATGTTCTTCCAACTTGGGAAAAGTTAATTTCTCCAAACCTTAAAATTCTTGGCTTAGAGTTGAGCTAAGGGGAAGAGAACCCAGAAGCCTGACATGCCAGCAAAAGGGTAAAAGTTTTTGGTTTTTGTTTTTTTTTTACCAGTGAAGTTTTTGGCTTCTCTCTCCCTATGCAAACTAGCAAAAGGCATAATAAGAATCATTGTTTATATTCTCTGTAAAGTTTTAATTAATGAAAAAGGATTTATGAGGCTGGTCTTAAGCTGTAGCCAATCTGGTGTGCTTTGTGAGTCTTTATGTATAGTTCTGTCAAAAGAAAAGATGCCTTAGGTTAGGATGCAGGCCCAAGACCCCATAAGCCTGCTATTCAAGCCAGCCCAACAAAATGTTCAGTAACAAACTAGGCTACAGGCCTCCATCTTGTTTCATGTCCTTGGGAACATGACCTGTAACCACGTGGCAATACTTTGTTTTAGTCTCCGACATTTTACAATGGTGGCTATCTTCTTGTGCTAAGTCAGTTCCTGGGTGAGGAATCAGATAAGCCAGTTTGTCAATCTGGGTGGTGCTAGCTGATCCATCAAGGGCAGGGCTTACAAAATAGCTTAAGCCCTAATCTTGAGAGCAGTTTGGGGAGGGTCAAAATCTTGTAGCTTCCAGCTGCCTGACTCCTAGACCATAGTTTCTAATCTTGTGGCTAGGTTCTTGGTCTGGTCCCAGGCAAGAGGGAAGTATGTCTTAAGAAAAGGTTGTTATCATCTTTGGTTCAGACTAAAAACTGTAAACCAGGCTCCTCCCAAAGTTAATTTGGCCTGTACCCAGGGTTGGGCAAGGACAACTTGGGGACTGGAAGCAAAATGGAGTTGTTTGGATCAGATCTCTTTTACTTTCTCAGTCACAATTTTGTGATGACAATTTCAGAAGCCCCTTATCACCCCTTTGAAAATACCTCGTACACTCATGATTAAGTCATAACCTAATTAAGGCTTATTGGTTTCACTTGTGAGGTTACATTCTGTGACTTTCAAAAGCTGAAAATCTTAACTGCTTGGCATGGCTAAAGTTGAGTGACAAGAGATTTGAAATGATTTTCTTATTAAAAGCGGATATTCAAGTTATAGGTAGATTTAAAAGCCCTTTATGTTTTTCTCCCTTCTTGGATCTTATTTTTCTGGAAAATGGTTTTTTGTTTCTTCTCAGTCAACCAAATTATTTCTTTCTCTCTCTCTCTCTCTCCCCCTCCCCCATTTTGTGGGGGGAAACAAAAACCTCTGTTTTCCTCATGAAACCCCAGGAATTAAAAGCAGATAGTTCTCTCTTAAAATCAAAGGCTCTGTTCTGTTTTGCATTGTGTTATCTGACAATTTTGACTTTTGGGGGTATCAAATCACTTCACATTAGGAGAGAGCTTAGGTATGTAATAACTAGGTAGGAAATACAATTTAAAGGATGGCTAATAATAGTTTTAAATCAGAGAAGTATGCTTTTGGTCACCTGAAAGAGGTGGAAACATCCCCACCCCCCACTGAGAGATGAGACTCTCATAGGAGATGGGCTGATTACAAAATAAGCCGATTGGCTTGGGGCTTCCATGCAATGAAATACACAGTAGAAGTACTGCATTGTCTTCTCCCATAGTATTTCCCTACTTTGGGGGATCCAAAATCCAGTATAAAATGGTACCCTTGGTTTTAGGGATCTGTTTTGCATTGAGCTGTGCCTGCTTGTTAGGCCCTAAAAATGCATGCTGTCTTGTCCTGTTTCTCCAAGGGCTCCACTCTGAAGCCAGTAATCTAATAAAGAAACTGGCAAATGAAAAATCTTGCAAGTGCTAAATCTTCTGTCTGTCTGTATATATATGTGTTGTGTGTAATGTATATAAAAAAGGGCTGGCTCTAAAGGAAAATAAGCACTTAAATTATTTTTAGTTACATGACTTTATTCTTTAAGAAATAAATATAAGCTGGGTGTAGTGGCTCATGCCTGTAATCCAGCACTTTGGGAGGCCGAGGTAGGTGGATAACCTGAGGTCAGGAGTTCAAGACCAGCCTGGCCAACATTGCAAAACCCTGTCTCTACTAAAAATACAAAAATTCATTGGGAATGGTGGTGGGCACCTATAATCCCAGCTACTCAGGAGGCTGAGGAAGGAGAATCACTTGAACCTATGAGGCAGAGGTTGCCAAGATGGTGCCACTGCACTCCAGTCTGGGCAACAGAGTGAGACTCTGTCGCAAATAAGTAAATAAAAATAATCTTTAAGGTTTATTGGTAAAATGCAGGTGTCATCAAAATGGAAATAGGTGATCTAAATCATACAAGTCAGATGCTAGATTTGCTAAATATTCCAAGGTTGAATACTGTCTGCTTTACACATAGGAAAGGCCTGGAACACATGGAGTTAGACTCTGGAAAGAGTTCGACCTTATCTGCACTTCTGTCTGGGTCCTAGGCTCCACATCTGGTGCATGATTGAAATCACTTACTAACCAGGTTTTTCACCGAAAGGAAAAGTTGTTAAGAGTTAACAGTGCAACATGTATTTGAGATCACTAAACAGTTTTATTACAATACATATAAAAACAGTAAACTGTGTCTTTTAGTAAAAAATTATAAGAAAGCATGGAAACATGCATTTTCTCAGGGATAAGGATTATCTTAAATTTGATATGATAAAGCTAAAGATTTAAGTAAATTGTGGAAAGACTGTATACATGTATATATATTTTTTTGAGACAGAGTGTTACTCTGTTGCCCAGGCTGGAGTGCAGTGATGCTATCTCGGCTCACTGCAACCTCCACCTCCTGGGTTCAAGTGATTCTCCTGCTTCAGCCTCCCCAGTAGCTGGAATTACAGGCACACCCACCACCACGCCCAGGGAAATTTTTGTATTTTTAGTAGAGACGAGATTTCACCATAATGGCCAGGTTGGTCTCAAACCCCTGACCTCATGTGATCCGTCTGCTTCGGCCTCCCAAAGTCCTGTGATTACAACCATGAGCTACCGCTCCTGGCCAAGACTGTAAATATTAATTGTGCAAAAAATGTGTAAATATTAATTAAATTCAAAAAGGTATTATATGGTCTTTTTATAAATTCAGTACTGAAATAAAAGCACAGCAAGTTTGTCTTAAGATACTAATCTGCCCTTTAGCAAAAGAGGTTATAAAGGATTCGTAAAGATTTCACCTCATGGTCAAATTGGTTAAGCTAGTGCTCGACTTACGACCACGGTCGGGACCCGGACCGGTCGTAACACGATTTGGTCATAAGTTGAGTAGGCTATATGTACAGTTGAAATGGTGCATGCAGAGATGGTAGTGCTGCTGGAAGCTGGTCCGCACTGTCATACGCCCAGCTGGGCAACGTTTGCGCTGCCAGACATGGAGCAGTCGTGGCTAGCAATTGTGGTCGTAAAGTCGAATGGTCGTAAGTTGCATAGGTCATAAGTCGATCAATACCTGTATATGGAAATTTCTATAAGGTTTCATTTAGACAAACTGGGGTTAACATTAATAAACTAGTGCAAGGGTAAAATTAAGCGTTGGACAGGATTTTTGTGCAATAGTAAAGGCTAATGAATGGTTTTTGTCTTTTGAATAATCATTTTGGTAAAATAATTTATGGCAATCTGGAATTTTATTTTATAACATAAAGTGTTTTAAACCTCTAACATTTAACAAGCATCCCAAAATCCAACTTCAGGTTTCAAAATTGTCTTCCCTGATGCCTGGCTTTCTGGATGGTTCAGAGGGCCCCTGAAACATCCAGAGCAGTGGTAAACAGGATTATTTGACATGTTTAGTCACATGAGATTGCCAAAATGATGTCCAACCTTCTTTAGGTTATCTTTTGGTGAATAGTAATAATGCATGTTCCAAAATTGTATGGAATTTCTAAAATTGCAATGTCTAAGTATATGCTATAAATCATAATTAAGGGTAAAGTTATTACAGCTAGTGCTCGACTTATGACCACAATTGGTTCCAACAGACCGGTCGTAACACGATTTGGTCATAAGTTGAGTAGGCTATATGTACAGTTGAAATGGTGCATGCAGAGATGGTAGTGCTGCCGGAAGCTGGTCCGCACTGTCGTACGCCCAGCTGGGCAACGTTTGCGCTGCCAGATGCGGAGCAGTCGTGGCTAGCGATTGTGGTCATAAAGTCAGATGGTCGTAAGTTGCATAGGTCGTAAGTCGATCAATAGCTGTATAAACCACGGAGATGACTAAACTTCTTTGTCAGTCATGTTTTTAACTGCACTATCCTGGAAATTTTGTCATTTGCAGATAATTGTTGCTTTGCTTTGTTCCTTCCCAAAAGATGGGTTATAATCAAGCTATAAGACTTTAAATGAAGGTTTCTAATAGCTTTGAAGATTATAACATTGGAATAGAGAAAAAACAGGACTCGTAAAGAACTGACATATTCACGAATATTAAGCAAAACGAGAGTTAACTAAATGGACTGCACTCAGAAAGTTAAAGCAACCTTTTTGACTTTTGCTTGGAATATTGCTGATCCTTGTTTTGTTTTTCAGAGTCAAGGAAACTTATTCTGAACTATTTATGGCCTTTAGCAATTAAGTTATACCCCTGTGAACAAAATCTGAAGCATGTTTGTTTCTCTCTGCCTGGTTCCTTTAGAATTTGGAAACTATCTGTGTATTTGGCAAGTATATTGCCAAACAACTTATGGCAATATAGTTTTTTACATCAGTGCAATAAGAATCCATTTTTCTTTTTCTTTTTTTTTTTTTTTTTGAGACGGAGTTTCACTCTTGTTACCCAGGCTGGAGTGCAATGGCGCGATCTCGGCTCACCGCAACCTCCGCCTCCTGGGTTCAGGCAATTCTCCTGCCTCAGCCTCCTGAGTAGCTGGGATTACAGGCACGTGCCACCATGCCCAGCTAATTTTTTGTATTTTTAGTAGAGACGGGGTTTCACCATGTTGACCAGGATGGTCTCGATCTCTTGACCTCGTGATCCACCCGCCTCAGCCTCCCAAAGTGCTGGGATTACAGGCTTGAGCCACCGCGCCCGGACATTTTTCTTTTTCAAGAGGACACAAGAGGAAAAATTGGTTATTTTATCAAGGCTTTGACTGGAAGGGTATACTTTCCTTTAAGGAGTCAATCTCTACTTGCCGAGCCGATAAAAGCCCCATGGGGAGAACTGGCTTCATACCTTGTCTACACAGTCCTAAATTTCCCTGGTGTGTAACAACAAACCCCAGGGTATATTCCCCAGACAAAGTAGCCACTTCAACAGTATATAAAGTCCTAGGGTCAATGTTAAAGGGGACACTTGACCTCCAAAGTGCCCACTTGGGTCTCTTCCAAGTGTACTGTTCTCTTTCCTCCTCTAAAACTTTTTCATAAACTTCCACTCCTGCTCTGAAACTTGCCTCAGTCTCTTTTTCTGTCTTGTGTCCCTCAGTCAAATTATTTCTTTAGAAGTGGCAAGAATTTAGATTCTGTATACTCTTGTTTGGATTTACGGCCAGTAACTTGGATACTTGCTACCCCTAACAATAGTGGATCCTAGATTCCCAAAAGAAAAATGCTACGGAACAAGGCAGAGAAATGATTTTTGCTATTGTTGTTCTGGAAAAGTCTCTGTCACCTAGGCTGATGTGCAGTGGTGCAATCTCTGCTCACTGCAACCTCCACCTCCTGGGTTCAAGTGATTCTTCTGCCTCAGCCTCCCGAGCAGCTGAGACTACAGGCATGCACCACCGTGCCTGGCTACTTTTTTGTATTTTTAGTAGAGACAGGGTTTCACTATGTTCACCGTGTTGGTCTTGAACTCCTGGTCTCAAATGATCTGCCTGCCTCGGCCTCCCAAAGTGCTGGGATTACAGACATGAGCCACCACACCTGGCCAGAGAAATTATTTTACAGTGCATTTCATTGCAAAGCAATCCAAAGCTGATCAGCCCATTTTGTGATCAGCCCATTCCCATGGGTGTCTTATCTCTCAGTGGGGACATTTCTATACTTTCTACATGGCCAAGAGCATGCTTCTCTGATCAAAACATGCAAAGAGCCGAGTATTTTCCCATAATTGCCGTTTGCCAAAACCCCAAGAGTATATTTAGCCTTAGATTTTGGGAGGGATCTATCTGCTTTCAATTCCTGGGGTTTCATAAGGAAAACAGGTTTTTCCTATAACAGGGTCTGTGGCACATCCTCTGTTTTTCCCAAGGGGTCCCAGGCTGTTAGAAGTTATGCTAGGGCCCTGGCTAGGGGAGGCGAGTTGCATGTGTCGCTTCAGCTGGCGATAGCGGCAGGAGCGGAGCCGGTGGGGCCAGTGCAACTGCCTGGATTTGTGAAATGGCTGCTGACATTTCTGAATCCAGCCGGACTGATTGCAAAGGAGACCCAAGGAACAGTGCCAAGTTAGATGCCGAACTCGAAGTGGGTACTTCGAGTCCTTTATTGTGGAGTCTGTTCATTACCAACAGAGTACTGTGAATATATGCCTGATGTGGCTAAATGTAGACAATGGTTAGAGAAGAATTTTCCAAATGAATTTGCAAAACTTACTGTAGAAAATTCACCCAAACAAGAAGCTGGAATTAGTGAGGGTCAAGGAACAGCAGGGGAAGAAGAAGAGAAGAAAAAACAGAAGAGACGTGGAAGGGGTCAAATAAAACAAAAAAAGAAGACTGTACACAAAAGGTTACTGTAGCCAAAACTCCCAGAGCAAAAAAGAAATACGTGACAAGAGCGCGTGGCCTTGCAGCTTTTCAAATTGATCTTAAAGAAGCACCAAGATTTTTTGCTCAGAAATTCTCCTGTGGTGCCTCAGTAACAGGGGAGGATGAAATTATCATTCAGGGAGGCTTTACAGATGACATAATTGATGTCATGCAGGAAAAATGGCCAGAGGTAGATGATGACAGCATCGAAGATCTTGGAGAAGTGAAGAAGTGAATTTGAAAATTTGTATTTAATGGCCTGAACTGAGAGTTGATACGGCCAAAGGGAGAGAGGCCTTTAAAAATATATATATATTCTACAGTGAAACTGTAGACTGCCCTCATCCTTGGCGTTTTCACTGTTCTGTACAAGGCTGCTTGTTTTTTTAATTGCCAAAGTCAAATAAACAGGGGAGACTGTCATTGCTCATACATGAATAGATTTAGTCAAATAAAAAATTCTGGTCATTTGGTACTGACTTTCTCTTTCTTTCTTTCTTTTTTTTTTTTTTTTTTTTGAGATGGAGTCTCGTACTGTCGCCCAGCTGGAGTGCAGTGGTGGGATCTTGGCTCGCTGCAACCTCTGCCTCCCGGATTCAAGTGATCCTCCTGCCTCCGCCTCCCAAGTAGCTGGGATTACAGGCACCCACCACCACGCCTGGCTAATTTTTTGTATTTTTAGTAGAGACGGGGTTTCACCGTGTTGGCCAGGCTGATCTCAAACTCCTGACCTTGTGATTTGCCCACCTTGGCCTCCCAAAGTGCTGGGTGTGAGCCACAGTGCCCAGCCTGACTTTCTCTTTATCTCTTTTTAACTTTATTTTTTGAAAAACCCAGTAGACTTTTTGTGGGGAGCATTATTGTTGATTATTTTACTGATCTAAAGCTGAGTGATTTTTTTAAAAGAGTTTTAATTTGGCTTCCTCACCAATAATATGTTTCCTGCTTCTTTGATGTGATAGTTTTGAGATGTGTGAGAATCTAATAGATTTGTGGTTGAATTTGCTTTGTTGTTACAAAGTCCACCCTATGGGCACGATAACATACTGTTGGTAAGAATTGTTCGAGCTATTCTGGAGATTATTTGGTAAAGTATACTAAAAGCCTTAAAACCATGTATGTGCACTGTTTGAACCAGTAAGCCACTTCTTCGATATTAGAAGACATTAGAAGAAATAATCAGCCTTTCATAAAACTTATGGATGAAAGTATTCATCACAATATTATTTATAATAAAAAATTGCAAACGTTATAAATGAACAATTGGAAAATGGTTAAAGAAGTGATGGTGCATTGTGCGGTAGAATATTATGCATGTGTTTAAAGAATCATATTTTCTAAGATTACTTGGAAACATGTTTGGTAATGTCAAGTGGGAGCATCCCAGATGTTTATTTTAGAAATTTATCATCATAATTTTAGACTTTTATCATCATTGTTGTGAGTGGAAGGGCGTTCAGAGAGGCTAGGGGTTCTTATTCTGGCTATAATTGTGTGAGTAAAATTCTGCTAACCAATTAAAAATGTGCACCCATGTTCAGTATATCATCCTGGAAATAGCAATTGAAACGTGTCTTCTTACAAGAGAAAAATGACAATTTTAATGATGCATTAGATGAATTTAAACTTTAAGTCAGGTGCTGCAAATTGGAAAGAAGACTTGTGGTGTTTTAAATTTCTGTGGACACTTTTAAGAAACTTAGAACCCATGAAACCATTGTTTATTGCCATGCAAATTATAATCTTGAATGAGTGGTTTTTTTTTTTTTAAATAAAGTATTAGAAAACGTGTGATAAAGATGTAAAATTGAAAATGAAAAAAAAAAGAAGTTATGCTCGGTCTTCTCATGTGTGTGTCAAGAGTGGTGAGAAGACAAAATAAAGAAATATAATTTAGTTGACTGAAAAGAAAAAACAAAACTTTTTTCCAGAAAAATAAGAACCAAGAAGAACCATACAGGCCTTTAAAATATACCTACAGCTTGAATATCTGCTTTTAACTATGCTGACTTTTAACCAAATATCTTATTATAGAACTCTAGCCAGAACAAATAGCAAATATTTCTGGCTTTTGAACAGAGGTTAATAACCTCCCAGGCGCTCAGAGAAAGGGAAATTCAAAATGGGAAGTCAGAAGTTGTTCATAGAGAAGAAGAAAATCAATAAATGAAAACTCACACAGATATCAAAGCAGAAAGGGCTCATTCCCTAAGCCGGGAATTGAACCCTGACTGCCATTGTAAAAAGACAAAGCCTTAGACGCTAAGCAACAGCATTGGGTGGTTTTCATTTTTCTTTCCACAAGGGGCCAGAGCAGTCAATTTTGAGCTTGCAATGGTTTTTAACTTCTCGGGATAATTTTTAGAGATAACTATGACATGAACCCCAAAATTTTTGTTCCCTGGATGGCAAAGACCAAGAGGAAGTATGGCCATGTGGCTTCAAGGTCAAGCTCCTAAAGACATAAAACAAGATGAGAGGGAAATCTCATCCAGTTTTTTTGTTTGTTCTGGGGACCTGCAGCAAAGTTTGTCACTGACCAGTTTGACAGGCTAACTTGAACAGCAAGTTTATGGGGGTCCTAGGCCTGCATTCTATCATATGATGCCACTTCTTATGACAGAACAATGTAGAAAGACAAATTCAAAGCATAAATTACACGAGACTTGCTATAGCTTAAGACTAGCCTCATGATTTTTTTCATTAATTAAAACTTTGTAGAGCAGACAGTGATTTTTGCCATTTCTACAACCAGTTTGCATATACAGAGAGAGGCCAGGAGTCTGACTGGTAAAAAATTCTTACCCTTTTGCCAGTATGCCAGGCTTCTGGGTTTCCTTTCCCTGAGCAGGACTTATGGATCCTGCTTGCTGCACCATAGCCCTGGGGGCCAAGCCTCATGGCAAAGGAAACGTATGTTTTTCCATTTCATGAAACCATAGGCAACGACTTTTTTCCATTTCATGAGGCCATAGGCAATGCCTCTCAATTTTGCAAGATGCTGTCCAGAACCTGCATGGGGTTACCAAATACTGTAAATATTTTCCATTCCAGTTGGAGCAAAATACATATGACAAAACAAACATTAGCCACTCTGCTTAGCACCAAATATTGAACTGTCAAGGCTCAAACTTGCCCCTGGTCAGGCCCTTGTCACCTTTGATCTATTCAAAGTTGATTATAGAAGTTTCACATGTGGTCTCTGGGCAAGATGGTCACTCTGAGTAGCAGAAAACAGAGGAAAGGGAAAGGAGAAAGAGAGAAAAGTGTTGCCTGTGGTGAGGTGGGGAAGGCTAGGAGCTCAGGGAGGCTAGAGAAAGGCCCACCCATTGCAGTGGCAATGAGCCAAATGTTCAGGCAGCCACTTGCCAGTCATGAAAGGATCTCTTAAAGTAGTCCTATGATCCTGTACACACCTAATCCCGTCACCCACAGCCATTAGCAAAGAGTACAAGGCAGATTAAATTCAAAGAGAATAGCAGTTAACATTCTGCAGTGCCAAATCCATTTTTAACCAAGAGGGACTTTACTGAGGCAGGCCTCTAACCCCCTAAATCTTAGGAGGAACTCTAATTTTCCTAAGCTGGGCCCTGAACCCAATCCTATCCTTTACCGAGGTAAAATGCACCTCACTACTTGCTCAAAGTCAGCCAATTGGTGCTGCAGTCTATTTATTTTGGTTAGAGATAGTATCTAAACCAAAAGTTTAGCAGATTTAATTTTTAAAATCAATTAGTCACTTAAGCTTTTTATTATTTGCCTTTCACGAAGTCTTTATTTATTTTTTATTTTTATTTTTTTAGATGGAGTCTCACTCTTCACCCAGACAGGAGTGCAGTGGCATGAACTTGGCTCACTGCAACCTCTACCTCCTGGATTCAAGTGATTCTCCTGCCTCAACCTCCCAAGTAGCTGGGACTACAGGCATCCACCATCACACCTGGCTAATTTTTGTATTTTTAGTAGAAATGGAGTTTTACAGTATTGGCTAGGCTGGTCTCAAACTCCTGACCTCAGATGATCTGCCCATCTCAGCCTCCCAAAGTGCTGGGATTACAGGCATGAGTCACAGCACTCAGCCTCATAAAGTTTTAAATAAAAATACTGATTTTTTTTAGAAGCTTCTGTACATCAATAGGCATCCCAAGATGAGACTAATTTGGGAGACCTTATTTTCAAATTCACTTCAGTGCAGTTTTGTTTATTTGGAACATTCCACTGTAAGTTATCTTTAGCAATATTTTGCTGTTTCTGTAAAACTTTGCTGCTTCCAGGACATAATACTTATGCATGTTTAAGCTGGAAGGAACTCAGTTTTTCAGAAATTAAGGATCCTGGTGGTTGTTGTGGCTCATACCTATAATCCCAGCATTTTGGAGGGCTGAGACAAGTGAATAACTTGAAGCCAGGAGTTCAAGACCAGCCAGGTCAACATGGTGAAATCTCTGTCTCTACTAAAAATACAAAAAATAGCCTGGTGTTGTGGCACACACCTGTAATCTCAACTACTTGGGAGGCTGAGGCACGAGAATCACTTGAACCCAGGAGGTGAAGTTTGCAGTGAGCCAAGATCATGCCACTGCACTCCAGCCTGGGTGATGGAGTGAGACTCTGCCAAAAAAAAAAAAAAAAAAAAAAAAAAGAAAGAAAGAAAGAAAACGAAAGCAAAGAAAAAGAAAAAAAGAAAAGAAAGGATCTCATTTTTACCTCAAATATTGGCTTTGCTCTCAGGTTCCCTTGATCAACGTAGACAATAATCTTTTTCTACTTACGTGCACTTGAAAAATGAAGCAAAGGGGTAGTATACAAAAATCCATGAGAATTTCCAAAAGCCAAATTTTATGCCCCCTGCAACATTGCCATTTACTACCAGTTTCTTTCTGACCCAGTCAGATGTAAGCGATCTCTAACTGAATCCAAGACAATTAATTCCAGATCCAATCCAATACTGAACCCAGTCCAGTTTTTGTCACAACTTCCAAATCAAGATTAAATCAGCAACTTGGTCAAAGAAACTCGGTTCAAAACAAATCCATGGAGCTTTGGCATCTGACAGAGAACTTACCATGAACCTTAACTTCTCTGAGAGAAAAACAAACACAAAGAGTCCAGCAGCTACCTCGCTTGGTCAGTCTGCACTCTTGGGGTCTCATTAGAAACTCTACTTCAGATCCCACTTCTGATGAAAGAAAAACTTCAGCCAAATTAAATTTAAAGAAGTTTAATTGAGCAATGAACAATTTGTGAATCAGGCAGCCTCCTGACCCAGAGTAGGTTCAAAGACTCCAGCATAGGCATGCGGTGAAAAAGATTTTTTGAGAGAAAAAGGAAAGTGATGTACAGAAAATGGAAGCAAGGTACAGAAATGTCTGGATTGATTATAGCTCAGGTTCGCCTTATTTGAACACAATTTGAACAGTTGGCTACATTTGATTGGCAGAAACTCTGTGATTGGCACAAGTGTAGGGTACAGTTTGTTTACACCTCCATTTGTAGCAGTTCATGATGTACAGTAAAACCTTTAGGCCAAACAACGTATGTAAGGAGATAGTTTTAGGCTAAACTTGATTTAACAGTAGTGAACTATCACTTCTACATGATATATATAAAAAATAGAGCTATCACAGGCATGCAGATTAAAAATGGCAGGTCCAAAAGATATTTAATTTGCTTGTTTTTTAAAAAAATTTCTCTCTTACCTTTAGATAATTAAAAGTTACAACAGCCAACAAAAGGTGAAGGCCTTTTCAAAAGAGAAAGAACTGAACTTTTGAGATATTAATCTGAAGAATTTCAGAGAGACAGATTATAGAATTTAAAAATTAAGAACTTCTTGCATTAAGAGTAAGTCAATATTTTAATAAAATATTGTTTTAAACAATTATTTAATTTTGTATTACCATGTTTTTATTTATTTATTTTTCTTTTTTTCTTTCAAGAATGTCCTAGAAAGCATATTTTTAAATATCAAAGTTCGGTTTTTAGAAACTATCATAATTTTCTTTAATTAAAACCAATTAATCACATAACACTTTTATAAGTTCTCTTTTTACTAATCTTATTACAACTTAGACCATTCACAACATACTTGAACCTTCTGGCTTGTCCTAAATATTCCACTTTCTTTTTTTTTTTTTTTTTTTTTTTTTGAGACGGAGTTTCACTCTTGTTACCCAGGCTGGAGTGCAATGGCGCGATCTCGGCTCACCGCAACCTCCGCCTCCTGGGTTCAGGCAATTCTCCTGTCTCAGCCTCCTGAGTAGCTGGGATTACAGGCACGCGCTACCATGCCCAGCTAATTTTTTGTATTTTTAGTAGAGACGGGGTTTCACCGTGTTGACCAGGATGGTCTCGATCTCTTGACCTCGTGATCCACCCGCCTCGGCCTCCCAAAGTGCTGGGATTACAGGCTTGAGCCACCGCGCCCGGCCCAACATTGAACTTTTTATAAGAACATTAAAAAAAGGTTTTTTATAATTTTTAAATTGGATTGGAAATTACCCAATTCTTAATATTTATTAATAACCTTAGATCCTAAATTATATGACAGGTTTGTTTATAAGCATTTATTCCATTACATTTACCTGATTAATTTATTTAATAGTTTATATAGATTGTTTACACAACTGTGATAGTTATTATTTAAAGTTAATTTAAATATTAAATAATTTAATTATTTAAAGTTATTTCTCTGTTAACCTTTTTTTTGAGATGGAGCCTTGCATATACATACACAGCATCAATCAGTATATGTAAGATGTACATTGGTTTGGTCCAGAGCAGTAGTATTACTGGAAGCAGGGGCAGTGGTGGGGTAGGGAGTGGGGTTGGAAGAAGCTTTCATGCTATAGGTGGATTCAAAGATTTTCTGGCTGGCAATTGGTTGAGTTTATCTATAGACCTGGTATCAAGAAGAAAGTATCTGGGTTAAGATAAAAGGTTGTGGAGATCCGTATTCCTTTTATGCAGATGAAACTTCCAGGTAACAGGCTTCAGAGTTAATGGATTGTAAATGTTTCTTATCAAATTTAAAAAGGTGCCAGATCCTTGGTTAATTCTCTCCTGGATCTGGAAAAAGACCTGGAAAGGGAAGAGGATTCTCAACAGAATGTAGCTGTTCCCCACAAGAGACAGCTTTACAGGACCATTTCAAAAATATGTCAAAGAAATGTATTTTAGGGTAAAATATTTCCATTTCTTTCAGAGCCTGCTGTCTGTTATATGATGCTATAAGAGTCAATTTGGCATTTGTGTCTTATTTTTACAAAGAATCTATTTGATGTCAGTCTTATGATCTGTATTTTAATGTTAATGTTGGTCAGTTGTGCCTGAATTTCAAAGGGAGAAGGATACAATGAGGCATATTTAACCCCCCTTCCCATTATGGCCTGAACTAGTTTTTCGGGTTAACTTTGTAATGCCCTTGACCAAGAAGAGGGGTCCATTCCATTGGTTGGGGAGCTTAGAAGCTTTGAATTTTACAAGTGGTTTTGCAAGAGTCTCTCTCTCTCTATGTGTGTGTGTGTATGTGTGTGTGTGTGTGTGTGTGTGTGTGTGTGCGCGCGCGCCAAAGATTTATTTCTTCATTTCTTGCATTTGAAGTATTCTTTGATGACATCCTTGGCCTGAGACTCATTGCCATAGTCTTAACTACTACACAATTGCAGCCAGTGACTTTGCAGGGTTTCCCCTCTCTGTCAGTTTTACAGAGGCCTAACCATTCCCCTAATTTCTTGTTTTCATCAACCTTAATTAGGTTGATTTGGTGTTCAGCACAAAGGGCCTCTATGAACTTGACATACATAGGATGCAAGCACGTAAAGATAGGCTTGGCACTTGTCTGAGGCTTTGGCAGCTTCGCAAATTCCATGTGCTAGGCCATCATGAAAGAGAGTGGTCTTCAGCACCTCTTCAGTT